ATCCTATAATAATAAAACCCATTTAATTTACAAACACGACAAAAAATTATAATATACAGCTTAGATTTTATCTATACCGTTGATCTGAACACCTTCACGGGTAAAGGCCTCCTCCAGCCTTTTCCAACTGACTCTGTCTAGGCTTTCTTTCGCCATTCGCTTCCTGCTACCGCTTCTATTTCTTCTATCCACGTTTATTTGGAGCGCTCTCTTCTCCTTCTTCCCCTTGGTTCTTCTATACAGTTGTCTTTTAAGTCCACCTTTTATCTATGTATCTTGTGATATGCCCCGCCCATTGTCACTTCCCTTACAAACTATACCAATACAATAATGTTGAGAAAATATATTTCTTTAAAACATTAAATTTAACAATTTGACAATATACATTTTACAATGCAATAGACCAATCGTGCAGAAAATTACGGATTACAGCTGTATGTAGCTCGATAATAGTTGCTAGGCGCAAGAAATATCAATAAACGACCAATCAGGCAACAAAGGGTCGGTTGGACCCGAGCCAAGCCTTATCTTCTCAAGGGCGATGTCTCGGAAACTGCTGACGAGCGTTGTTAGGGTTGACTTTTATTAATTTTATATTAACACTAGAATGGCTTATTTTCCAGCATGGACAAGACTGTCGTAATATTCTAGGTGAAAATTCATAGTTGATAAGAAATGGTGTATGTAGAATACAATGTTTTGGGTGTGAATGTTTAAGGCGTTAGTACACCTACGCGTTCGTATGCGGCTGCGAATCTTTGCGAAATAATTTGGGGGGGGCCCCCTTCCCCCGGGGGTCCTCCCCCCCCCCTTTTTTCTCCGGGGGTTTTTTTTTTTTTTTCTTGGGGGGGGGGGGGGGGGGTCCCTTTTTTTTTTTCTCCTCCCCCCCCCCCCCCCCCCCCTCCCCCTTTTTTTTTTTTTTTTTTTTTCCCCCCCCCCCCCCCCCCCCTTTTTTTTTTTTTTCCTTTTTTTTTTCCTTTTTTTTTTTTTTTTTTCCTTTTTTCCCCCCCCTTTTTCCCCCCCCCCCCCCCCCCCCCCCCCCCCCCCCCCCCCCTCCCCCCCCCCCCCCCTCCCTTCCCCCTCCCCCCCCCTCCCCCCCTTTCCCCCCCCCCCCCCCCCCCCCCCCCCCCCCTCCCCCCCCCCTTTTTTTTTTCCTTTTTTTTTTTTCCCCCCCCCCCCCCCCCCCCCCCCCCCCCCTTTTCTCCTCCCTTCCCCCCCCTCCCCCCTTTTTTTTTTTTTCCCTTCCCCCCCCCCCCGGGCGAAAGACGAAACGATTGTGCGTTCGGTTCGATTGTGATTGTTTAATAGGACCTTTAGACTAATACAAGTTGACATCCAAAGTGATATTTCAACTTAGTGTAGTGTGTGGACTCAGTTTCCGCACTTAGACGCACATTTGGTTCGTTGGATCTGTCTTCTGTTTACGTTCATTTATTTAATGCGACGGACTCAATACGCGTTTCGTTTTACATTGACGGCGTGAGTTAATTTTTATTGTTTTAATTTATTAATATTGTTCTACTTGTGTAAAATATCAAAATCTGAAGAGATCAGTAATACAAATTACATTCAAAGTTATATTTATATAGAAGCAATCAAAATGTTGCTAACAATAATTTTCAATAAAACTACGAACGCAAAATGTCCCTCGTTCAACGGAAATTGAACACAAGATGCTTCTTACAAATAATACGAAAAGATTTTCTTGTTCTCAATATAAGAATCCAAACTGAGAACTACTATATTAAGACCGACTTAAAAAGTGAGCACTTAACATTATTTTTAGTATTGAAATGCAGATAGATTTATATGTTAATTTCTCATAATTTTTTTTCGTTTGCAGTACGTAATGTCTAAATGGGATTTTTGGCAGAGGCGTGGATACAATATAATTACCCTTAAAACACGAAAGCCTATTAATTAACTTCCAATAACGATCCCAACTTCAATAAATAAACCGTTACATCGCCACTGGTTATTTTAATTTGTCCGTTTTGTTGTACACAATGAATCTTTTTTATGAATAACCCTATAAGTAATCTTAAAACAAGCCCTTTTTATTATATTTATAATTGTTACCTCATACTTATTATTTGTACAGTATGAAAATTACGCATTTGAAAAGGTAATTATGTTTAGTAAAATACAGTGGCGCTAAAATACCTTTTATGTCTGGGCCTCAGATTAATGTATATGTGTATAAAAAACAAAAGATCACGAAACAGATAATTATAAGTACGACGAAATAATATTTCCGTATTTATACTAATTATAATTAGTATAATTACAAACAACTGTTTTACCGCCTTCAAAACACCGGAAGAAAGTTTACAGTTTTTATGTCTAAACGACAAAAAAGTTGTTCTAAGACGACAGGGGTTCATGCGTCCAAAAGAAGGGATGCTGACGCATCCCTGCAAGCATTGTACCCGGCCTCCCCCAGCTTAATAAAACAATAGAAAACAATAGAATTGGCCGATGTGAAAGGCCCTTGCTGGGCCAAGGTCCATTCCACATCATTCGTGGCCGTAGAGGATCGTAATATTAACGGTTGATCGCGTGGCTGGATGCGGACAAGGCTACGCTGTTACCGTGTCCTGCCCCGGGCGATTGCTGGTGGCGCAGTGGGGTTTTAGTGGGTATGCACAACAGCGAGTCCAACATAACCCTTCTCCACCAGGCCAACCATGCCGCGGAAGGGTATGCATAACGCATTTTCCCACGAAAAAAAAAGACGATATCCTTACGATTTTTGCCTTAACCGTACGAGCAAGTGTTGTGGAAAAATCCGTCAGGCTACAGCCTGGGTTACAATGCACGACAGGGTTGAGAGTCTAAACCTGTAACACGGCTTAGTATTATAAACTACATTATAAATAGACAATAAACTTGTCTCAATACATTTCTTGAAAACCAAATTTAATCATAGATATAAATGATAGCTCAACTCGAAATTAAAGCGACAGTTATTTATTACCATATGGTAAGGAAAATAAGTGAAGCCGTAAAGTCATTGTCATGGCCCGAAATCGATACAAGTCAGCCGGAGCGCCGGATGTGACGTCACCCCTGCTTCCCCTATTCCAATAAATCGCTTTTCATGGGGGAAGGATGTGTCATGCACTTTCCTATAAACAGGGAAACATTTTTATCCTTGTTGGAAATTAAATTGCATATATATGAATTACGTAATTATACAATATGTTGAAAATAATCGTCAAAAATATTTTGTCAATTATATTTAGCCTATTTTAAAACAATATTAAATGGTATTGATTGACGTTTGTAGCATTATTAGGTATGTTAGATAACTTTATTTTATGCATTCTGTATTATATAGCAATACTAGTGGACCCCACAGACGTTGTCCTGCATGATATTTAAAGCGATTAGGATATTAAGCAAAGTATGAAAGTACCGACTGCAGTGCCATCTGCCGGGCTGATTTGTGAATCTAAACCATTCCCAGATCCCCTTGAACACACACAAAAAATTTAATCAAAATCGGTCCAGTCGTTTGAGTGAAGTTCAGTGACATACACACTCACAGAAGAATTATATATATAAAGATGTAATGTTTAGTAATGCGTTAGTATAAACACTAATTCAAAAAATGTAAGCATGTAAATAAAAAAAAAATAAACGAAATATCAAAAAAAAATTGTAGACCCTATTTGACAGTATTAAAGAACATTTCTTGACTATACAAATAGTTAACACTCCAAGTATTAACAGATTGTCTAGTTAATTATAAATTTTAGACAGAAAGAATCAAACAATGAGAAGAATTAAAAGAAACCAGCCAAGTTCCAACAAATTAAGCCTCTCAAGTTAAAAAAACGCCTTCAGAACGAAACTTCAGCTAATTTGCGAACAACTGAGAATATTTCTTTTTTTACAGCTTAAACTTTTACAGTAATTATGTCCTTTCAAATATACTTCGTTTTTAGAATTTCTAATTTTATTTGTAATTCTTAAGCAACAATCACATGATAGCTAAGGATTTTAGTTGGGAACCGTCTAAGTTCGATGAGATCTTTGTTCAGTTTTTTTCGTGATCTCACTTTTCCATGCGAAAAAGAAAACCTAGGTTCTGCTAGTTCTAGGCTTAGCTATAATTAACTGGAAATGGTTTTGTTTATCATCTAAATTTAACATTGAGAATCGATATTTTTTTTTTATATGTAAGCAGCAGTACGTATTCGAACAATATTTATTGAATCTTGTGATAGGAGACACCCTTTATAATAATAAAATGTATGAAGCCAGTGAGTAGATCACGATCTGTGGCTAAGCATACGAGTCGGAAGTCGAGCATACTACCTTTATATGCGCAATTAAACCGATTAATGATGCATCCGTCAGTAAAATTCCTTACCCAACGTTCATATTCCTTCGATGAATCTATCGAAGCCTGAGATTCAAGATAAATCACCCACCTCCTCAATCTTTGTACCTAGCATGTTCGGACGTACGTATTTGTTACTACAAATACGTCTACTTGATCTATTTTTAAGTACATCAAATATTTAGTTTTACAAATAATTGCCACTTGCAACTTGTATCGTCAGTCAAATATTGTCTACATATTTCCAAGCCTTTAAAGTAACATTCGTAATTATAAGCGTAACCCACTTTCAGGAGTGAAACCCTTAAATGGAAATATTTATAGGTAATGATTATCCAAGAACCATGGTAAGTAGAACTTTTTCTAAGACCAAGACTCTACTCGACTCAAAGTATTCACGTAAGGAAATAAAGAAAATATCATTAAATGACCTTCAGGACTTCGCATGCTAGAATTACATAATAGAGTCCTTTATGGTAGAGGACCATGTTTATGTCGACACCGGCAGCCGCAAAGTGAGCAATTAGGATTATATCATTATCGATCGAGCGGTGAACAGCTGAGCGAGGATTCAGCCGGGTTGTTTAGACGCAATGCAGATCACGTGTGCGTCGATCAGCCTAGAGCCTCTTCTGTATACGCCCTAAATCATCTATCTTCTTCTTACATGTGGAGAAAGTAAGGCGATAGTTGAGATAGAAAGTCTGAGGGTTGGAGCCGGTGGAGACGCCGGCGCGTCTGCGTGCCGCGCATCGCGAATCAATGTTTGCGCGCGCAAACGGCGAGCTACCTCGCCTTCCAGAGTCATTCTGTGCGGAGTTCTCGTCCACAGCGGTCGACTGTGCGCTATCTTCTGGGCGAACCGTCGGCAGTCGCGCCGGCGCCGCCGTCGGCGATGGACCACGACGAGGACAGGTCCTTGTCCCTGGGAACGGAGGTCTCGGCCTCCGTACCCCCTCCGAGTCCTCTCACGGGATGCTATCTCCTTGCTGTCATCGGCGAGCCCCACACTCAAGAACATAAGGAAATTATTCTGCAGCGCCTCGTTAAAGGTGAGTCTTAGTGACGTACTAATTTGCCGGCTGAGTTATGACTTATGAGCGTGATCGTGAAAGTTGATAAATACGTTAAGTTTTTCTCGTTCGGAGTAATTTTATAAAATATTTGCCATCGGTATGCACAAGAATGCAGTGTCCGTCGTGATTAGATTAGTTTTCGCCGGTACATTGTGTTTTCTTCGTTGCGTCATCCGTGACGTGCATTCGTTTTTCTAAGTCAGTTATCTAATTGAATCAATTGATGCACAATTGCATTATTGTACGAAAATTATGTACCTGAGAAATTAAAGCCATGTGTAATTTATAAGACCTTGAGACGTAATTGGCAAAAAATCATAAAAAATTTAAATTATCAAGTCTACTGGATGTTTTTTTAAACCTAAAACAAACTTAATCTGGTTTTAATGGTAACCGACTTATCTCCTCATTGCCAACATAGAAGAAGAACAAAAGAAGATGGAATAAAAAGAAATGATTGGAAACGAAAGTATAGAAAAATATACAGATAAATTGCTCGTAAAAAGCTCTAATAAGGAAAAAATTATGTACACATTATGATGTCCGTCCGAGTAAGAGTGAAAGTGCATATCTGTAAAATGTTATATTGTTTGCAAATAGATCTTTATTGCGGAAATGCAGCAAAACAATTGCGTCTGTTTTAGGAGCTTCCGGTTAACGGTCATTAAAATAATACGCAACATGCCAAAGACAATTACATCTACCATACATTCTAATTGTTAAAACAATCGCGAAGCATTGTGTTGTCTTTTTTCATATAAAAACCTATATAATATAGTAAATGTAGCTCCGAGACCTAGATGATAATAATCCATAGCTCAAAGTTCCTGAATTTCATTCTTTGAAAAGCAATATTTTATTTGTAGGGTAATTTACGTTAACCACTAAACAATGGAGGGTCATTTTTGTAGGTCGGCAATTAACTAGTAAATAGTATAAAATTTTAAGAATCTATTAATTTAAATTCAACGAACCTCTTATTTTGTCCAATAAGATGTGGTCAAATTGATTAATATAGAAAAATTGCCGTCGGCGTCGCATCACTGAAGATAAATTTCCAAGAATTGTAATTTGACACTATTTAACTTTGATACAAACATTAATATAGATAATATATACAAACAATAATAATATTTTCATCGCAAATAAGCTATACCATAATATAGGTTACCTGGCCATAACATTTAAAAAAAAGAACATAATAACCTAGCAAGAAAGGCTTACAAAGCGATAATTAATTTTATTCAATTTTGATTAAGTGAGGACCTAAGTTTCTTAATACTCAACGAAGACGCGTGCGCATTGTCAGTATTAGATCACATGTCCGTTTTAGTAATAATAAGTAGGTACTTATGAGACATAGCGCTAAGTACTAAGACTCTTACGTCAAATTTATGGGATTTTTTCAAAGGCAGAGTTAGTAAGTCTTGACTCTGGATCACTCAAAATTAAATTAATGTTAAGGTGCCAATTAGAATGTAGCTTACTCACCAATGACAAGACAAGCGTTAATCACCTGTCAACAAGCAAGCTAAGAAAATCTATCAAAATCATAAAATAGTTTTATTAAAAAATACATTAAAACTTGATCAAAATTATTAAAAAATTAAACGTAAATAATATTTTAAACACTTGAAAGAAAACTGCTTTCTCAAATAGGATGCAATACATTTAGCACTTCTGATAGTGAATGTATTAGATCATCTCTTATCATATACACACAAATAACTCATACACACTGATAACAGATTTTACTGGTGCATAGTTTTAAAAATTGCATCTATAGTTGGATTTTTAACAAATCCCATGGTTATATAATGAATGTTTGATAATACTAGAATAATAATGTGTTTGATTCAGAGAGGGTTAAAACGCTCGGATAGGATCAAAGGTCCATAAAAATATGCACCATTACTTGGGATTACTAATCCTATTCATTTAAAATAAAAATTGTATGTCGTAAGTCATCCTCCAATTTATAAACACTTACTTTGTTTGAATATACTAATTGAAGCCGTCCGTGTCAATCTGGAAAAATTATCTTTAAACTATGATGAAAAGACAGGTCAATTAGGTCAAAGTATCCGACAATTATTTGATAAATATTTATTTATTTTCTAAATTAATAATTTTTTTATCGACATATTGAAAATAATACTAAATAATACAAAATAATAATAAAATAATAATAATAATAATAATACTAAATGAGCTGGAAGACAAATGATCTAAGTGATATGTAATCATGAAGATAAGTAATCAGTGTTTTTAATTCGTTATGCGTTTCAAAACATAACATCGCTATGTGGATCAGAAAATATTGTCGTATTGTTTTGTAATAAGTCAAGATATTTCAAATAAATAGTCTATACGGCTGGACCATATCGAGTAATTATTTTTTGATTTATTCCTTGAGGAAGATTATTATGGAGGGAAAAATTTGAAAACGTAAAAAATATTGTTTTTATTTTAAAAAACGAAGCTCCAAGCAAAGAAACAAAATCATATTAAGTCGAAAAGAAGTTCGCGGGGGCAATTTGTTATTAATAATTATAGGCGTATTAATGGCCTATTTTTAACATTCAGATGCTAGTATAATGTGATAAAATAAATAAATTACTTTCGTTCATGCTTTTTTACTTGTGTTCAGACGATTATTGAAGAGCGATTTCTACGTTTTTGTCATCCTTCGTGATTCCACTTTCTTTTACTAAAAAAGAAACATACAACGATCTTAACATTTTTAATAATTAAATTTGTCGTGTGTTGATTCTATTTTGCAATTTGCACGTTATTTAACATGTTTGCCGACATTTAAGCTATTTAAACCAACGAATTGTTAATGTCATGCATCGCTAATTGACAAATTTGGTATTCTGTCTAGACTGTGATGTGTCATTCAAGTTATAACTTAATTTTAATCTAAAATACTTTGAAATCTTCGCGAAAATATTGGTGTTTGATTATTCCATGTAATTATTAAGTATGCTGAATAATAATTATAAGACTATTTAGTTTCTACTTTATTAAAAGTTATCTTGTCTATTTAGGGTTTTCAAAAGATGCTGCAAGCCGAAATGATGTTTGGATAAATAAGGACTCCAGCGATTTTAAAAGCTTGTAAGGATACATATAGTATAAATGTTTTGTGATTCAGTTTTTTAACCAATTAAACTTTAACTAATATAATAAATTTAAACACTTAAATATAACTGAGTAAAATTACATAACTATTAAAGATACATCCTTATCTATTTATCACCAAGTTAGCCCCTTACCCGAATCTGGTTATGGGGTTGGCACCAACATATTAACTAAAACTAAATCTACTAAATAAATAAATTAATAATAACGTAGTAATTTTAATTGCCTTAATAGGCGTCACCTAACGTTGGTCATTCGAATACCGCTATAAACACTACGCTAAAAAAAAAATCTTAACAGGTGTATAGGCTTTATATATATAGACTATAAAACATTAATACAATCAACACTTTAGGAAATCGTTTAATTAATTAAGAAATAAATTCTTGTAATTCATCGCGGTCGGCTGAGTTAACATGAGGTGCGCGCACGCCTCATTGATGCTCACACACTTCACTGGATCACATTTAAGTGTTACATCGCTCTATACAAAACTTAAACGATTATTGAACCTTCAAAAGTAACGAGATAGTAAAATTTTGTTTTCCATTTTTAAACATTGTTTTTTTAATAAATTACAGAGCTGAAAGATTCCTGTCACCCCTTTGAGAGGATAGACTCTAAATAATAGACAGCATGTGTACATAGTCCATTTTACATTGTTTATAAAATATATTGAATTTGTTTATGATATGATACACTTAAATGTTAAAGTCACTGTAAATATAAATAAGCTTTTTACAAATCAAATAAGTCGTCAATTTAATCACTTACGAAATAGAAAGAGATTTTTTACAGTTGGCAAGAAAATACCAAATGTATTAAGAAATTCTTTAAACTTTATCATTAGATACAGACGATAAAAACAAATCAAATAAGAAGTTGTCAAACGTACTCAACAGAACAATATCATAGATTTGAGACATATGGTCAAAAATAATCTTTATTACTAAAGGTTGTCTATGATCACAGATAAAAAGACTAGCTTATTGCTATATCCGAGGTTTATAAATGCTCAATAAAATAAGACGCAGATTTAACAGTTAAATAAATGATTGTAAAGTCAAAATTTAACTTAGTGTAGATGCCCTTGGCAATGAATTAGAAGCCGTTGAAGATTCGTCGAGACGCACAAGGGATTACGAACACGTGCGAACTAGGACTTAGCCTAGTCTGTTGGATATCTTGTAAACAATACCAGGCTGTTGGGATTATTCCGCTGACTGAGTTTCAGACGCTGGCAGGTCGCACAATTTCTAAGGCATTGTGAGCTATTCAAGTTCTATATATTTTTACGGACGTCACGATGTATAAAATAAATAAATAAATTAGTGGCGCTACAACCTCTTTAGGTCTTGGCCTCAGATTTCTGAATCCATTTCATGATCATTTTTAATCTAAAAGGCAAGTAGGTGATCAGCCTCCAGTGCTTGACACATGCCGTCGAATTTTTGGGTCTAAGACATGTCGGTTTCCTCACGATGTTTTCCTTCAACGTTCGAGCAAATGTTAAATACGTACATAGAAAGAATCCATTGGTGCACAGCCGGGGATCGAACCTACGACCTCAGGTATGAGAGTCGCACGCTGAAGCCACAAGGCCAACACTGCTCTCACTGCTGCGTTACGTTGTATAAGACATTAAATTACATAAGGCTATTGAGTCATAATGTAGAACAAAAATAAAAAAGATATAAAAATGTAACAAAGAAAACACTATCTCCCTTACAAAATACTAATAAGTTTTTTAAACAACTCTCGATTAAACGGCTGGCAAACGGTGTTCAATGATTAATTTTTT